ACGTCAAATTCATTTGAAGTAATCAAGAATTCTGACTCGACATGTACGTCTTCATTTGAATTTGAAGTAGGTGAAACAGGGTATCCTGGAAACCCTATAGGCACATATAAATAAGCCCATATAAATTCCAAAGCAGCAAAAGTAGTATGTCGTAAGGTTTTCCAGGGCTGAAGAAAGGGTAACCTCCATGTCATTGGTGTTCTTACTCTGGGCTGCGATACCAAGGTCGACAAAGAAGTGTCAATTTTCTAGAAGCATTTGGATCAGTTTAGTCAGATGTGAGTCCTTGGTCATCTCATACTGCTTGGTGAGGAGAAGCCTGTGGGTCACAGTATATATGCAGCCGTCAGGTCTACGAAAACTTTTCCAGTGGCTTGATTCCTCTCAAAGCCGTCCTCGATGTGCTGAGTCAGGTTGAGTACCTCGACTGGTGCATGACTTTCTAGGGCAAAAACCAGTCTGCTCTGGTACTATGAGGTGCTCTTCCGTGATTGGACTAAGTCTGTTCAAGATAAGGCGTTTGAAGAGCTTGAAGAGGTGACATAACACTAGATTGGTCTGTAGTTCTTTGCTGTATTTGGGTCTTTCTCTGGCTTTACTAGGATGGCGATTACTTCAGCCTTCCTCCACACCTTTGGGGGCCGGAGAAGGCAATGCAATTGAACAGAGTGAAAATCCAGTGTAGCGTGGCCTGTCTAAGGTGTTTGATCTGCTCTGTTCGTATGTCGTCAAGTCCAGCAGCCTTGCCATTCTTGAGATGGGCAGTAGCTGTCAAAAGTTTGCTTTAGGTGAAGATCCAGGTAGATCCCCAATGTTCTGTCGCCAAGGCGGGTTCTTATTGTGGCTTTGTTTGTGTTGGGTTTTCCCGTTAAGTAGGAGCTGGTGAGCAACTTGGTTAGTTGTGACGTTCGAGTATGTTGTCTTTTTGGGGTCATTATTGATCTTCTTAATTGTTGACCATGCTTTCTGGCTGTTGTGTGACATATCAACATTCTCGATCAGTTCTTGCCATTGAAGACTTCCTTCGTTCTTCTTAAATAGCAGCCATGAGCATGTCACCTGCATGCAAAGTTTCATCCGAGAAAGGGCCTTCTTCATGCAGCTTTACATTCTGGTCGTACAGAGAGGTACCTCCCCGGAAATTCCAGGAATGTAGTTCTCCCTACAGCCTTGTGGGATATGCTTCTTTGACGCGTTTTGTACAATTTTGACAAACTCATCATAATTAGATGGAATGGGGTCAAGTTCAGCCATGGCTTCATTCAGGGTGCTGGCAAAGTTCCTCCAGTCAGCTTTCTGAAAGTTGAAGCGCCGTCATAGGGGAACTTTCTGGGGTACCACCGCAGCAGTAATATCAATGTCGATTGGTCTGTGCTGGTAGTAGGGTATTGGATGAGTGTTGATCAGGTTGGTTATACGGTTGCTTATGAGGGCTAGGTCAGGATTGTAGCCTCGTCTCCAAAGGCAGCTGTTGAAGGAGGGAGGGAGCTTAGAGTCATGGATAAGATTAAAACGGTGAGCTTCGGCCCAACTCTCCGCCAGGTTACTGCCCTCATTTGTCTCGTTGTAGCCCCAGGAGTCGCTGTAGGTTATGAAATCTCCGATTATAATGTTGATGTGATCGTGATTGAAGGTTAATTTCTGGTTCGTTGAATGAGATTTGTAAACACATTCCCCAGATTAACAGAGAGTATCTCTGTGTTGTCCCCTTCTGTAATACGGCCGTTTCACAATAGTGTGCCACCAAGAGTTTGCAACGCGTTGGCCAATCATAGTGCGCGAAATTTGTCGACCCAATGCGCGTTTGGAAAGGGTCGACAAATTTTGCGCGTTATGATTGGCCAACGTGTTGCAACTCTTGGTAGCACGCTACTGTGAATCGCCCGTATTGATGAGGTCTGGTCGATTTATATTGTCTCTTTTGGTTGCTCCGCAACAAGTTTCATTCCAGGAATTCTGGGTCAGGACTGTTGTTGGCCTCTGTGGATCCGAGTCCTGCAGACACAGGGCATCACAGTCAATCTCATAGCAGAGGTTTCCTATCAATAATTGTTTCGCTGAGGAAAGCCCCTCGATATTGATGAACATCACCGTCATCGTCCGTCTTGAAGAGGACGCATGCTTCCGGCGATCGTCAGTGGGAGCCATCGATGGTAGTAGTATACACGCGTTCAAGTGTAATGCAAATTGCAGTACTACATGTAGTTGAGTGATTGATGGGTAGATGGGTAAATGGTGGTGGTGGTAGAATTAGCTCGGGACAGAGTCCAGTTTCCAGTCCCGCAGAAAAAACTTTCGCTACGCGCAAGGTAATACAGAAAAAACTTGAACAAAAATGAGCATTTGTGGAATCATTGTTATTCAGCACCAAAAGGCAATTTTAACCCACTACATGCTTCCTTGAAACACGATAAGCTGATTTTAACTTATGGGATGAACATTACAAAAAATTTGATAACATGCTTGATTGAAAGTTATAGGCACATGCTAATAAAATAAGATGTTGTTTTTGTTTGGTTCTGGGGTCCACTAATCTGGTCGTATTGACTTGTTCCCCTTAGTGCATGTGCAAAAATGTGATAATTTGCACTAGCTGTGCTAGAATTCATGTCATGTCGCTTTTATTTTACAAAACGAGTTCATTGATGGGTCTGTTTTGTTGGTTTTTTGTTATCATATCAAACCACCACAGTATACATTTCCCAAAACGTTAAGAAATCACAGGTATATCAAATAAAAACACACAGCTGGCCATTTTGCTGTGAGTAGGGTTGTTATCATTGCCCGGGTATGGTAAAATTTTCATTACCAAGAATCACCTGTTTACATAATAGCCTATTTATACTCAGACAAAGAATGTGAACGGACACATATTTGACTTTTCTGCCACAGCTTGCAACTGAAGTTTATTTTTTGTGTGAATCGGTAAATGATAACTCTGTGAATATTTCCGACCTACAATTTTGGCCAGGAGCCAGAACCCGAACACAGGGCAAACCGGCTATATACAGACACAGGACACATACACGGGTAACAGTTCACATAAAATAATGCACTACCGCGTCCATTCAACATCACCATTGTGGAAACACCAAAGACACCACATTTTCCTTATACCAACCAAGCACCACGTCATGAACCTGCCCATGTGGGCCTTGACCTGGATAAAGGTCAGCTAACTGTACCCGACCTCCACAAAGACTACATGTAACGCATCTTGCCTTCACATTAGCAAATTGGCCCCAACCGAAACCGAAGGGCGCCGTAAATTGGCCCCAACGAAACTGAAGGGTACCAAAGTCAAAGTTACAGCTCTTATATTGAACAAATAAACAATCGAAATTCCCCAAGTTGGGAAACGAGGGGGAATATGCTATAGCCCGATCGGAAGGCCAAAGGGCACTGTTATTAGCTTAATACACCGTCTAGTACTAGAAACCACGTGATAAAAGTTAGCCAACTGAATTAAATTTATGCTCTGTGCAATTTGTTACTGTGCTCTTTTCTGCTAAAAACTCAGGCTGCTAACGACAGCAGTTCAAAGTTAACCCGTTGCACGTAGCGACAATGAAAGGACCATAATACTGGCAGAGCCTTGATTTGGGGGAGGTAGCGGGTTGAACAACTTGTTTCAAGACAAACCTTTGACAAAGTGACTAATTTTTGTTGTTGTTTCAATGGCGCTTTTAGCAGCTCGGGCTATTTTCACCAATAACTATAAACGTTTATTCATACACGTACTTTATTAATCAGCATCACATCATTACGGAGTTTGGAAGAAGGTCCAGTTTTAGAGGCAGGAGGAAACCGGAGTACCTGTGTATGTAAGTGAAAATCTGTGATTTCTATTGGAAAAAATTGTCCAACAGATACTCAGAACTGTTGTCGGCAGCCGGGCGTCAGCTGTGTGTCTTGGTTGGTGTCAGGGGGGCTGGGTGGGTGTCAAATTCAAAAGGGAATTTTGCATCAGGTTCATTTAATGCCGAGAAAAGCACAATCTTGCTTTATTTCAGTGTGATGTTTTGTGTGGGTATAAAATAAATATACTGAGGACTTTCTTATACCTCCATTCTTTGTAAAAGAAAGATAATAAAAGGGTGGGTGGGGAAATTGCCAACCCCGGTCGCCGCCTACATAAGCATGACGTTTGAAACGGGCCCAAGACACTGAGAGGACCATTTTGGAAGTGAATTTCACGGCTCTTGATTCTGAGTAAAACAATGTATAAACTGTTTTTAATGACATCTAATCGGCCTAGTGTAGGAGAAAGACTATTATCACCCACCTATGTCCAAATGAAAAAGGCAATCAAAGGTCCGAGTTGTCCAAAGTTACTCGGACTTCAACCTCGTATCATCAAAGCACATCGTTGAAACAGTATTCTACAGAAAGAAGACCCGTTTGAAATTGTGTTCATCAGCTAGGTGCTGGGCCAAATTAATACACGTAGCCGTAGTCCCTTAGGTCCACCTCATGGGTCCATCAATTCGTATTTACTCTCATAAGTTCAGTAGGGCATGGAGGTAGGATGAGAGGCTTTAATTATCAGAATCAACCTCGGCAACTGAGTGAACGTTCATAAAGACAGCGACCAGCCTTTTTTCAAACGGACAGTACGTGACCCAAGACAAATTTTACACAATCCTACAATTTCTTTGACGAAACTAATTCCTCTTTCTGTACTGTTCATCCACCCCAGCATGCATGCACAGCGCGCGAAAAATATGAAAGGCACTACCTTATCTTAATTGCGGCGCCGGCACGCGCTGAAATTGAAGCAGCCGGCCGCGGTCGATCGCGATTGTCGCGGGGCTACCGTCCAGTGTACATGTACACATGTACCTTTATATTCAAGTAAATAATGCTGACTGCATGCGAAGAATATTAACAGGAGACCGTACTATCAACCTGCTTGAGTTTGCCTACGCAGTTTTCATGGTGTATCCAGTAACTGTAGTTGTGTGGGGATCCAATCATGTAGCTTCCTTTTATTTACATAGGCATAGGTCGCGAACGAGACACAACTTTCAATGTAATGATGTCACGACTATAAATAGGCTCTATAGGGAAAGCCCCTTCAACAGAACCAAACTGCAACAGGCGAACTGCCCTAAGAAAGGGCTCAGAATACGGACAAAATTTCGTCATGATGTAAAAGGTAAACACTATAAATTTTAGAAACGATTGAAACAAACCGACTTCAGAAATTTTGCTTTTTATGACCTTTGTTTGATTTTCTTGCACAATGGCAAATCTTTGACACCTAACCACTAACTACAGTACAGTCTAATAACAGTACATGTACCATGTGTACCTAAATATCTTAAAAGCAGAAAATATATTTTGAGACGATTTTTACGTATAACCCACTTCAGTCGCCGATAACTCAAAACAAGGTTTGGGGGATCATTCTTCATTTAGCTTCAGTAGGTCACGAATTTTGTTCTCAATCGATCAATGCGATGATTACTCCTTGCAACCCCGGCATGATTTTTCAGAGTCAAACAAGCCCTGGAAATGTACATATGTAGGTGGGGCAGTTTGCTTTTTGTCCCTTTTGCTTTCCATTGTTTCTAGGGATGTGCATCCTGATGAGCGCGGCTTGCTGAATGTAAAACAGCCATTTATTGAACGTTGAATATTAAGCGGTTACTTTTTCAACACTGAATGTTGAACTTCAAACAAGGAATTGTAACTGGCTTCCTACTGCCTACCACCTGCATCCCCTTGACATTTACATGATGTAGCCCTAATTGCATTTCACTGTCGCTGGCAATTAAACAATATTTTGTTGGACACATGTGCAGTAAATGTACATGGAACTCAGTGTTTTTTGGGGATTTAACTATTCTCACCATGACAAATAGCCGTCTGATTATGTGCCAATTTAGTCATTGTGACTTCGCGCATGTATTCAGAAGGTGAGAAGCTGACCATTTTACAGTTTCAGACTTTTTTCCTCAAAAAAATAGTCCTCCAGAGCCATGAATCAGAAAATACCATGTAATTAAATGTTTGAGTCAATCATTGTCAAGTTAAAAATAAAAGAAGAACATTTTTACTGTTTTGGGGCAAATAAAAAGACCCTAGTTCAAATCTAGTAATTAAAGCCCTTCACACACATCAAAGTAGGTGCTGTCTGATTGTAGCCGGCTAAATACCATTTGATTAAGTAAATGGTAATCCAAGATATTTAAATAAAGGCGCAGACACTCTATGGAATGTTCCATGTCAAATCTTAAAATGTTATACATGTATATATCTCCTAAAAGTATACTAAGCTTTTGAAAAAACATGTATATGCTTAATGCCACTGCATGCATAGGGTTTTCGTATATCAGTGAAAATTCCTGCTAAATCTATGCAGATGACCCTTTTTGAAATCGATGGTGGCCAAGATGTGCTGTAGAAGAAATACCAGTATTTATTTAAAGTCCAGGTTCTGAAAATGGCACAGCACATTTGAAATAACACATTGAATTTATCAACAATTCAAAGAACTTATTTTCCAATTATGTTCACTATATCCTCATGAAATTATTAATCACAAATGAGGAAATGTACATTGTATCTTGATGAAAAATGGTTAGTTTACCTTTTAGTTTTTTGAAACATGAGGTTACAGAGTCTGTCGATATTTAACAGTTTTTCACCATGTGTACTTTCCCATGGGAGTCATAGAAAACCATAGAAAATTGTACTGTTAACTGTTAACACAGCTAGACGTTGTTTCATTTTATACATGTAGGTCCATTGGCCTTACACCACACAGGTACATTGGCATTGGCATCTGTGAGTCTAACTGTGTACATGTAATATTTGTGTCTTTTTAATCATTCAGTGCAGTTTACCAGTACTTGTCAAACATTGCCATTGGATTTGAGTGAGCAGTCCAAGTACAATGGAGAACGAGGGCGTGTCTAGATCTGTATCTGAGGAAGGATGGCAGCCGCCTCTCTTTGCAGCGTCAACATGGACTCTCATCATTACAGCTATCTCTCTCTTCTTTGTGTAGGTTGTTTACTAAACATTCCATCAGGTGATAGGTGTCAGAAATCATCTCATGTCAATCCGGCGATGAAATTGCTCCTTGGAAAGTGTATGGACATCAGCTTATATATAACATTAACACACACCAAAAAATAGGGTAGATGGCCGGGGCTCTAGTCTCATTTGTAAAAGTTATAAGACGATGCTAGATTAAGAAGGGATCGACCCAGCTACCACGTTGGTACTATATACACACATACATGTATAAAGCAGTGTATATTCCCTGGCTGAGTGGTTATATACTTGCATTTAGCCATAAAAGGAGGTGATTGTAAAAACAGGTCCCATTTTATATTTTGGACAAAGGTGCGATGTACAATGGAGTGGCATACACGTGATACTACCTGTAATTTGGTCACTAGCATCAACATATGACCCCCTAATTGGGCCCATGAGTGTGCTTTCCCTCAGCCTTTCGGAAGTATAGTCTCGAGTTTAAGAACCCTGTTATTACACAATTTTATAAGGTGCAAATTCTGAGAATCCCAATTTCTTGAGCTTTTGTGTTTTCTTTTCCACTCCTTTCATAACAAAGTTATTATTATTACTGGTCCCTTGAACTTTGTTGTAGTGAAAGTTGATTGTACATGGAGGGCCTGTACATGCATCTGTACTGACCCTCTCGTCACCACTCACCGTCCCTTGTGGTGTATATGCAAGTTCTGGTAGGGGTGCCCCATGTACCTCACTGCAAGTTTGTGTACATGTATACATGTAGTCTTATATAACTTACATATTGAGGTCTACCCACTAACCCGCTCTTTCACCATGATGCATGCCCTTTTTGTTCTTTTACAGATATGACTACTCCAGGCGTTGTCAGTACCTGGCATGTAATGGTATTGCAGGGCCAAAACCTAAGCCCTTCGTTGGTAACCTGCTAGACATGATATTCCACAAAGATGTAAGTGCACATTTTTTTGTTAGCTCTGCCAGTGTGAGAATTGTGTTAAATTGCATTCTTTGAGGTTAAAACAATACCACTCATGTACATTGTACATAGTAGGCTGCTCGTTGGGGGATCCATCATTTTTATCGATTTGTTTCACTGTTACAGTTCATGTATACATGTATCCCACATATGGGGTATAATCATGAAGCATACATTTTATTTGCGTACGTACATGTATACAGGGGTTGACATCAAGCTTTTTTGCCCAAAAGCTAAAAACAGCTCCTGACCTTTCAAATTTCAGGGGTTTTTGGGAGCTGTGTCACTGAACCTGGAGCTATTTTAGGTAGAGTCATAATACATGTAGTTCTGCAGCTGTAGGGTTGCGTGCATGTACGGCTGATGTAGCGTAATCTACTGGGACGTACCTGTATAGACTGGTTGGCACATTTCCATCATACATTCTCTGGTGTTGGTGCGGTGCAGTGGGAACCAGTGCAGCTTTGCTTTAATGGATTGAGCTTTGTGCATGTATTTTCACGACAGCGAAATGCAAAGGGAACTTGTGAAAATAACTGAAGATTCTTTTCAAAAAAATGCAAATTTAAGTAGGAAAACATATAAAAACGACGGAACCAGTAACAGCCTGGCACTAATTTTGGCACCCGACCTCTTGCTTTTTTACTGGCTACCCGGCACTAATCATGGTTTGTCAGACCGTGGAGGAAGGACACAGAAGGAGTTACAACTCTGGCACATCAAAGCGCTCAATGATCATCGCCGCCCGGTCAGATGAACAATAGTAAACATTCCAAAAATGCCTGATTACTGCCTGCAGCTTAGCTGGACAAGTGGGGCCAGTAATATCGTAACAATATTTGTAGTGTTTTCTTTGGAAGAAACTACAACCT